TGGGCTCTTTAATAAAGTTTTAAATCAAAGAGTTGGAGGTTAGAGAGAAAACAACATTCCTGCTATCAGGCTTCAGACACACGTGACAGGAAGCTGTAAGCAAAGAGCTGCTCTATTTAAAAAGATCACACGACCAGAAGATCAGGAAGTGGATTAATCAATTAGCTGCGTATACAGGATCTGCACTAATTGATTAATCCTTAAAGTCGTTAATGGAGCTGATTCTGGACCAAACAAACATTTTAAAGAAGCCACTTTGGATCGTGGGAGTTTTTTTTTTTTTTTTCTTCCAACTTTTTATTTGCTTCGATCAAACAAACCAGCGTTGCACAGACTGATAAAGGAGCAAACGTTGACTAGAGAGGCGGTTCTTGTGAGGCCGTTTCACTGTGACAGCGTTTGTAAAAGCTATTTAGGCCTCCGTCGATAAACTGCATCGACTCGGCGCGCTGCACTGGGGTTGACCTTTGTCGGCGGACCGGGATAAACTCCGCTTCATGTGGTTCTGGCGCTGAGAGCTGCCACACAGATTAAGTCTTATGAGGTAAATGAAAGACAGTAGTTAAACCATGATCTCAACCCCTTGAAATAGAGCATTGTTAGTTTCTGAACGTCTGCCACCGAGCAATTGTTTTTGAACCAGAGTTGAGCTGGTGTGTGTGCGAGCGATTGACGGCGGCGGCGGGGGGAGGAGGAGATGTGGGGAAGATCTGATCCCTTCCAGAGAATTAGAATTTCATCAGAATCAGAAAGCGGCAGCGTCGAGTTACAAACAGACGATCCTCCCGTGAGAAAAGCACTTTTTTTTATTGAGCCTCCATCCCGGTCAATCACGGGGAAATTACACCTCGCCAAGACGTCGGCATTTTATTTAACTCGAGACAGAGGAAGGGTTGATTTTGGAAAAAGTCAAACCGAGCGAGGTATGAGGAGAGCCGGCCAGAAGGTGAGAGCCACGACGACGAGAGGAAATATCTGAGACAAAACATCCACTGGGATTTAACCATCTCGGCTCCCTTTTTTTGCTCCATTTTCACCCACTGTGGACTCATTTTTCACCGCAATATAAAATCCTGGAGACAAAACAGCCCCGAAAAACACAGCTAGAACGTCATAAATTATTATTATAATACAAACTAATGTCGTCTGAGCAGTGCAGCAGAGTTAAAACGCTAAAAATCCTTTAAAAAAAATTCTTAAAAAGTTTAATTTCTTAATTAAAATTTGATTATTTTACAAACATTTAGTAAAATAAAGTGAAAGAACATATTCAACAGTGTTCCAAGCGCCTGTAGGTGTTTCCGATGATGGTGGATGTTTTAGTTTTTGCATTTTTAATTTATCTTCATATCTGTTGAGCTCTGTCCAGACACAGCCTGCAGTTCAGCCAAAACATCCCAGAATTTCTGTCACGTGACTGTAGTTCGCAGTTAAGTCACGAATGGCTTCATAGTTGTGAAAAAGAGAGCAGAATATTTTGCTTTTTACAGAATTTGGTTAAAGCAAGCTGTTTATTTTTGACGAATTTTTAAATAAGACGTGATTTTAGGCTTAGATTTGGGTCATTTTCCCCACAGAGCTGCACTGAACACATGATTGGTGTGAAAAAAGCTGGAAGTCTTTGAAAATCTTTGCACATATAGCAGGTTAATAAAAAAAGAATAAGTTTAGATTTAGTTAATTTCCCCAATTACATTCTGTGTCACTCATGCTACGTTCACTGACTCCCTGAAAGTTTAAAATCGATTCTGTCTGTTTGTTTCTAGCTCTCATAAATGGTGTCATTTTGCAGATTTAAAAAAAAAGACTACATGTATTTCAAACCAGCCGGTGAGTTTTGGGGTTCAGAGGGTTAAAGAAACCACAAACAAACACATTTCAAAGCCTTTTCCGCGCTTGCAGTCGAGGAGGGATTTCATTTTAACGTGAAGAGGTTTGCAGCAGCCTCCTGGCCGACAGCTCTAGGTAGTGATTCAGCCTGGATGCTCAGGTCTGCATGGGGAGTGGGTGTGTGTCGGCTCAGCTCTCTGCTTTCCCTCCCGCAGCCCAGAGATCGGCCCAGGAGCTGCCGCTGGTGGACAAGCAGAGCCTGGAGACGTGTCCGGCCGCCGGGGGCGAGAGGATGCTCCTGGACGGACACAACTTCCAGCACGACTCCAAGGTGGTGTTCGTGGAAAAGGCTCAAGGTAAAAGAGGAGGAGGTTCGCCGTTGTGTTGCAGCTGTGTGTGTGTGTGTGTGTGTGTGTGTGTGTGTGTGTGCTGCTGGAGAAACCCCAGCGCTGCTCCTTCCTCCTCCCCCCGCCGTCAAAATATCCTCCACGCTGCCAGAGTGCCACATGTGGTGCACATTAATGCGCTGTATTTTTAACCCAGCACATTTACATTTGCAGAAGTTTCCATTGCCTGTTCAGCAGAGGAATGGATCACAAATGCAGCATGTGTTATGTGTGTGTGTGTGTGTGTGTGTGTGTGCGTGGGCGGCTGTGCACGTGATGTCCGTGCACACGCTTTTTTTTTGTGTATGTGTGCCATGCCTCAGTATTTGTTTCTCTTCTTCTGACTCTGAGCCGCTCTGGTTTGGAGGCGGACGCGACTGCTCCCAGATGTTGATACGACGAGGTTTACAAACAGCAATTTCCTTGATTAGCTTTAGCAAAGCAACGTGAGGCCGAGTTTGGGCCGAGGCCGAGCGCTGGAAACACGTGTGATCCTATCGGGCTGGTGACTCATTCAAAAAGAAAAAAAAGAAAAGAAGAGGGAAGCCTTTTCATTGTTCCACCTGTGGACGGAGGAATTCTCCGGCTTCCTGGGCAACCTCGCAGCCCTCCGACCCACAAGGAGCCGCAACAATGGAGCCGTGAGGCCGCCGACCAAAACAAGAAGCAGGCCTTATTCCCGTCCTCACGGCCTCTCTTTGTTTGACCCTGATCAGACTCATTTAGCTTCTCTCGGAGGCAGAACTAATCCCACTGGATCAAACGAGCCTCACCAGAACCGCTTGGTGGAGCAAAGATGAAGGTCGAGTTTGAACAAAAATCTTTTTTTCTCGTATTCGATGTTATTCTAAGAGCCAATTCGTGCTTTTTTTTTTTCGTCCGTGTGGGAAGAACAATGAGGCTACAGTCGCTACCATCGGCCTCCGTATCGAACAAAGAAGAACACGGGGAAGCAGCAGCTGGCGGCGCCGTGACACAGCGCCGGATATCTGGAGAACTTGTCACGTGTTTGGGATCCGTCACTGGAAAGCAAATCGAACTACTTCAGTTACAACTGATGAATTATGACCAGATTATGGCAGAACAATGCAGGTTATTCCTACTAAAGTAGCGATACGTCACATTGCCCTTCATATTCAATACAGAAAAACACATAAGGAAACAGAACTGGTTGCTGATTGGACCGTAGCGCCGTGGTGATGTGATTATTCCTGAGCTGGACCGAGCACAGTGGGCTCAGGACAGCTGGAGAACTTTTTTTAAATGTTTGGGATCCATTGATAGAAAGCAAATCAAAGCTCCTCCAAAGTCCTTAATAAGTACTTTAATTACAGCTCTGTCTATTACAATTAGACTTTCACTAGGCAGACATCCATCCATCCATTATCTAAACACCGCGTAATCCTCATCAGGGTCATGGGGGGCTGGAGTCTATCCCAGCTGACTCAGGGTGAAGGCAGGTTCACCTGGACAGGTAACCAGTCTATCACAGGGCTACACTTAGAGACAGACAACCAAGCACACTCACATTCACACCTACGGACAATTTACAATCACCAATTAACCTCAGCATGTTTTTGGACTGTGGGAGGAAGTCTGAGAACCCGGAGAGAACCCACGCTGCACGGGGAGAATATGGAGACTCCACACAGAAAGATCCCGGTGCCCCCACCGGGACGTGAACCGGCGACCTTCTTGCTGTGAGGCAACAGTGCTACCAACTGCGCCACCCTGCAGCCCACTTGGCAGACACTTTTATCCAAAGCGACGTACATTTCTGAGAGTAGATCACATTCATACAGAGCTGCTGTGTTGCTGCTGCCTGCCGTTGGAAGCATGTATCTTGCCCAAGGACACTTTGACTTTGGGGATCAAACCGCCAACCTTGCGATTAGTGGACGACCCGCTCTGCCACCTGGGCCACAGCCGTCTATGAGGACTTATGGTCAACTCGTACACAGGACGATCAGTAGACTGTTTGTACTATCATAGGGCCACACTGGTCCGCTACATGGCTGGTCCCATCACCCTTTATATCGACAGAAAACCACAGGAGCTAATTAGAGATCAGATTGTAGCACCGTAGTAATGTGATTACTCCTGAGGTGTACCCAGCACAGAGGATGGACACAGCACAGGATATCTGGAGAACTTATCTGACTGTGTTGGGAAAGCAAATCAAAGCACCTCCATAGTCTGACTGCTTTAATTACAGCTCTGTTAATGATGAATTATGACCAATTCATGCTTTCTGTGTCCGCGCGTGAAAAGCAATGTGGACTATTTATAAAACAGTAGCGTCATGTTGATGTGGCATGTGGACGGTCACGCTACCACACCGGATACGGAAAAACACAAGAAAACAGCAGCTGGCTACCAACAGCTCCATATAAGTATTGTGTATTATTATTATTGGACTGTAGTTCCATTTTACTGGGATTATTCCACACTGTGGGTGGAGATAACAGGATACCTGGAGAAGTTAGAGGTTTTCACCGTGTCTGGGATCAATTTGAAGGAACGCAAATCAAAGCATCTCCAAAGTCGTACAGCGAGGATGTCAGTTACCGCTCTGTTAGTGATGTATTATGACCAGTTCATGCTTTTCACATCCACGTAGACAGAACAGTGACTCGTTCTACTATAGATACAGGTGCTATGCTAACGGTCACATCGCTACATTTCATATGAAATACAGAAAAGCACTAAATTAGACTTTAGTGCGGGGTTATTGGGAGAAGTTTAGGGAGGAAGAAAATGTGCAAATTATCCCTGTTTTATTAAATGTAGAGAAAACGTCAGTGTGTTGGCTGTAAACAAAAAGGTAAAAACAGTAAATGCTGTCCTCGTTAGAAATCAGTATTTTTACAAATTGTAATTTATTCTTTCACAACATGTGACCATAAATCTACACTGCTTTCGATGCAACTGCAAAAAATACAGTTTGAATGCTGCAACATTTCATCATTTTTTACAGAATCTATTTTTTTTGACAGAACAGCAGCCTCATGTTCTGCCCAAACGACACATCTCATTGACTAAAACTTACAAACAGATAATTGGTTCATTGTCTTTTGTGAAGCCTCCCACCGCGTCCAGGTCGGCTGCCGCTCCGGTTCTGTTTTGGTTCTGAACCCGGCCGTCTTTAGGGCCCAGTGCGGTTCTGCACCGCTGCTGATGGGTGTTGCTGCCTTGTTTTTGATGAGGGTTTCCCTGCGTCTGGCACCAGCAGCAGATTCCTGGGCAATCCTACCATGGAAACACCCTTAAGCCAGGCTTCCACAACACTGCCCCCCTCGCCTCCCGCCTCCCTCCATCCTTCCACCTCTCGGTCCAAGCTGCTCTGTGCCACCAGATCTCAGTTCATTAACTCTATGAGCTCCCAGCGGATCGCTCTGGTTCTCCTTTACAGCTGCTCGCTGCATGAACACGCCGGTGGATAGATACCGCGGAGACGTCTCGGCTCTCCGGGGCGTCGCCGGTACAATGAGACAAATTCAGAAATGAAACAACAAGTTTGCGGTGCAACTCTGAGTTTCGGTTTACAGTCGCGGTCGTGATTGGCCAACAAAATGTCCAGAGTTCAGGAGGAAAACAACCAGTTTTAGGCAGTTTTATGATGCATCTTTCAGCAATTTTCATGGGATTGTGAGAATATAATTGCTGAAGGACTCATTTATTGTCTGTAAGAGTCAAAATTACACTTTGTTTGCTTCAAAAACTGTCTAATAGCAAAAGATTTATGACACTTTAAGCTTAAAAAAACTCACCCGCAAGTCATGAACTGACCGTTGTGCAGCTATGAGGGTTTGGGTTTAGTATAATAGTCATTATTCTCCTGTATATCTCCAAAATTTCAGCTTTCTCATTTGGGAAACTGAACGGTTTCTGCAGTTAGGGGATGCATTTTTCTGCAATTTTCATGGGATTGTGAGAATTTAAATTTATTTGCAATAAGAGTGGAAACAGCGCTTTGTTTTATTCAAAAACTCTTTAATAAAAGTAGATTTATGACACTTGAGGCTTAAAAAAATCCACATTCAGGAATAAAACCATCAGTTTTCTGTAGTTTGATGATGCATTTATTTGTAATTTGGATAGATTGTGAGAATTTAAACGTTGGAGGAGTCATTTATAGTCTGTAAGAGATGAAACTGCACGTAGTTTTCTTAAAAAACTGTCTGCGACTAGTAGATTTATGACGCTTAAGGCTTAAAAAAAAAACTCACCTGCACATCATAATTTGATCATGTGTACAACTGAGGGAGTTTTCTGTGGTCGTCATTATTGTCCCGTGTGTCTGGAAAATGTGAGAGTTTCTTGAGGAAAACCGCAGCTCATCTACACATAGTTTAGCAGTTTTCTTAAGATAGTGAAGATAAGAGTGTTGCAAGAGTCATTTATTGTGTATAAGAGGTAGATTAAGAAACTTTAAGCTTAAAAACTCGCACACAGGTCATGAATCGACCAGTTGAACAATGAACTTTTCTGCATTTTTTGTTGAATGTTGAGGATACGAGTGTCGCAAGAATACTTTAACGTCTATAAGAGTGAAAATTGCGTTTTGTTTTCTTCAGAAACTACCAGATTTATGATACTTTAAACTTAAAAAACTCACCTGCACGTCATAATTTGATCAGTTGTGCAGCTGAGGGAGTTTTCTGTTGTCGTCATTATTGTCCCGTGTGTCTGGAAAATGTCGACTTTTCTCGAGGAAAACAGTTTTCTGCAGCTTCGCGATGCATTTTTTATCTATTTTCTTAGGATGGCGAGGATGGGAGTGTCCTCATTTATCATCTGCAAGAGTGAAAACTGGACTTTGTTTGCTTCAAGAGCTATTTATGAAAGTTTAAGCTTGAAAAAAACAGGTTAAATGTCAAGTTTTCATTCAGAGAACAGACATTTTTCATCAGTTTAAAAGTGGATTTTTCTGCACTTTTCAAAGGAAGTTTCAGGATATCAATGTCAGG